ACTTGTAGTTTCCGTTTTCGGAAATTGGGGATCCAAGTGAGATGCTGTTACATTCCTTTCTTTCAAGTTTCTCATAGAGAGAAACTCGCCTACACTTCTACCGGGCGTTATGACCCGTAGGCTGTAAAAGGAAAGTCCTGGTAATTGAGGGGAGAGGAAATGTCGCAATACACTGCTTTAGCGTCTGTTTCGGTTTGAAGCGGAAAGCACTTAGTATCAATCAGTATCAATCCGTTAGTATCAATCGGCTGGTTGCACTTGCTTAGGGTCAACGGCTTAAATACAAACTTTTTCGAGTTCCTGCTTTAGGGAAAGCTGACTATAGGGCTTAAAATTGCGTGTAGACCCTCTTAGCTCTGGCATATGAATATCCAATATCTTGTTCCGACGCCGCGGTGGCTGTATGTGAGGCTGCCGGTTCCGAATATTTTTTTTTTTTTATTTTAAATATAGATTCAATCATCTTAACAAATACAAAGAATAAAAATTGTCCAAATTCAAATAAATAAACAAATAAATAAAACAACTGTAAATGCTAATTCCAATGTAATGATTAATTCTACATGAAATCCAAAAAATCTACGGCATTTCCAGTTTATTAGCGACACTGCAGGAGCTTTGTGAAATATGCCTCCGTTTTTGAATAATACGAGTAAATGCATTCAGTGTTATATTTGGGGAGCCAAAAAGTGTCAAATGATTGCGCTCTGGAAATCTCTTAATTCGAAACTCTTCTGTAATATGATCAGCTACCCTTCTTTTGTTAATAACTTAGCAAGTAGACGTCGACGTGTTGGCGCATAAGACATTAAACTACTGTCGTGATGTTATCTCAAAGATCGATATTCCATTCGTTTTAGAAAAGGAAATTGCCTCTGAGTTTACCGGTTATCTGATTAGAAAACTTGTGCTATTAGGCAGACCAAGATGCGCAAAAGAGTGTCAGTTGATCAATATGAAACACTTAATCCAAACCATCAATAGTCTGTCGAAACGTTTTAACCGGCCAGAATGTGCCTAGAATATTTTTATTACCTCGTAAAGTAAATATACACACGTTCATCTTGAAATCTGTCCAAAAAATGAAGACAATATATCAATAGTCCAGTTTCTTACTGGACATGGGAATTTTAAAAGTTATTTGAACAGATTTAAGTTGAGTCCTGAGTCTGTCTGTGACTGTGGCCTCGGCGGCGAGGAGAATGTAGAACATGTGCTTCTTCTATGTCCTAAATATGAGAGCGAAAGAAAAGTCTTGAAACTGGGACTGAAAAATTTTAATATTAACTGGCCTCCAGAGTTTTACCAATTTATTTCCGAGAGAAGTGCTTTTAACATTTTTTGTCAATTCATTGTAAAACTTTGTAATCATCCTTGATTTTATTTCAATTTTCGGCTGATCTTTAGAATATGGTAACTGGTAGTTTGGCGACATTTTGGAGGCGATAAAGGTTACTTACTACCTAGGACTTTGGTAATAATGTGAGAAGCACGCAGTTCCGATTACGCATTATTTTGTGTGAGGGAAATGAGAGATCATGAGATATGTCATGTGACATTAATGGACGAATTACAGTTGTTTAATCGGAAAAGGGGGGAAATCTGGAAATTTCGTATTTAGCTATATTCTGTGTTGTGTGAAACGTGACATTAATGGACGAATTAGTTCTTTAATCGGAAAAGGGGGTTAATTTGGAAAAGCTTCATTGTGTGTTGTGTGAAATAGTGTTGATTAATTTTCGGATTGCATGGCGCTTTGTAAAGTGAATTCTAAATTTTTAATGCGTTTATCTGATAATAATAATAAGTTGAGATTGTGGTGAAAGGAAGGATATTACAAGTTTAAATGGCGGTGCAAGAAATATGGTGAAAATGGACATTTTGTGAAAAGGAGTGTAAGGAAGGGTACTTAGTTTGCTGAAAGTAGTTTGAGTATAGGTGAAATTTTATTAATTTCTTATTACTTGGTGAATAGACTTCTATTTGACTACTGGATTTAGGATTTAGAAATTAGCAGTAGTACTGCAGCGACGTAATGAAGATTCTGAAGAAAATTAGGTAAGTTAGTATTTTTTTAATCATTTGAGGATATTATTTTTATGCATTGTTCTAAAGTAAGGAGTAAATAAATTAAAATGGTATTATTTTGAAATTGTTATTAGCAATGATTTAGTTTAAGTAATTAGGATTGTAATCTAATTTTTATTAATTTAATGTATGTGCTTATTTATATTTTAAGTAGTGTTTTTTAATTTAATTATATTTTAATTTAATGATCGTGATTTTGTGAGTTATATGTTTGTAGTATTTTGGAATATATTTGAGTAGTATACGTTGAGTATTTTCACGCATTTTCGTGAAATTTTTCTAATTTATGAGAAAGAAAAGCAATGTACATGGATATAGTGAAGAGTGTGCGCAATGCCATTTTTGTGTAATTCTGGGATGTTTTTTTAAGTAAAAATAAGTCGACGTGTACATGGTTTATGTGTATGTGTTATTTTGAAAAACGCGTAAGGAGTATGTTATTGTGCACTTTTTCCCAATTTTGCAGTGAAATTTTGTCATGATTAAGCAGTTTTGTTAGATAAACTTTCTAGCATAAATGTAATTCGGCTAGTAGATTGTTGGAAGAAGTGTTCAGTAGATAAAAAGAAAAAAACATGTCTTTTACTTTCGTGAAGACAAATGGCGGCGGGAAAAAAAACAGAGGGTTGTTGTAGGAGAGTTGGTCGCCAAATTTTCGCCAAAAATCGCCAAGTTACCATAATGTCAAAGATCAACCCCAATTTTCTCTTGTTTATGTTGTATTGTGTTTCATACTTACTTCTGTAAGCCCCATGTGATGCTATGTGGTACATGGGGAACTTGTTGAGTTTCTTTTAATAATAATATATATATCTATATATATATCAATAGTACATAGGCCCAAGTATAAAGTGCCAGGAGTAATTTCGCCTAAAATTCAAAAATACCTTTTTCTCATGGCAGTTTTAGGGGATTAGAAACCCTGTGTCAGTGACAGGGTTATGACTGGGCATGGGGGTTATGACAGGGTTATGACTAAGACACAATAACACGCCGAATAAATACTAATACAGAAGTCAAACAACAAAAATCTAATCATTATTTCCTATCTTGTTCATTTGCGGTTTTGCAGCTGAAGATTCAAAACCATCCTTGCGTCAAAATTTCCTCTGTGAACCTGTGATAATTTGTAGTATAACGCTGATTTTTGTTGTTTGACTTCTGTATTAGGGTTATGACTTTTGCAGTACTTCCTCGTAAACCTGAAAGAAGTCTTCAATGGGTATGGTGATGAAAGTACATGAGTGAATCCCATGGAGGGAACAGGGAGAGGGGGGGAAAGATAAAAAAATTCTTCAGTAAGCCCTTTGCAACTGGCGAGGGAGTAGAAAATAAAGTCCAGAAGCCTGTTGAGCAGGTGGCGCCAGATGGTGTCGAAATCGGAGAATTTCAGGCAAGACTAATTTTGAGGTCATGTGTGTCTCGTCGACGAATCATGGGCAGGATTGTGGAGAAAATATTTCGGACCTGGGATAGGTGTTACAATACAAGTCATTAGGATTTTGAAGTCGAAAACATAAAAAATGAGCAATGCCCTCACCGGGACTTGAAAATTTGAACCTGGACCGCTCGAACACGCACCGAGTGGACTATCGATACACCCCGAAAGCATGCAGATTGGAGAGAGAAAATTCCTTATATCTTGAGCGCGTGTTTCATCTTTATAGATCAGTTGCATCAGAAGTGACGTTTTTAGGACTGATGCTCTACCCAAATCTAACCTTCGTTCTGCATATGCAGTGCTTGAGGGAAGAGTGTTTCAGAACTTTAAATATTTTTAATTTCTTGGTAAATATCTGCGGCCCAGAACGCTGTTTTTCAGTTCGTATTTACGGATCGCTCGTTCGCTTTAAATTAGACTACAGCTCATTTATTTATGGATACGCACGCTCTTCAATTCAATTGAAATCTGACCCTGTTAATCATAAGACTCTCCGGAATTGTTCTGGAGCCTTCAGAACATATTCATGCCATAATCTAAATGTTGATTGTTACGAACCATTACTCCATCATTATTTCAGTATTGCTATGTCACAACATTATTTTAACTAGATCTGAAGGCCTGACGATTGTTACAAAATTTCATTCTCTGCAGGACTTACTAGAGTGTTGTACATCTTTTATTTGGAATAAAATGATAGGTCGATGGAATTTCGTCAGAAAAGACAAAATTGTATTATGTAGATACGCAATTTTTTTCAATCCAGGAAAATCGGTACTAGTAGATAGACATTAATACATTTTTCAAACTTTTTTTTTAAAGTTAATGCACTTAGATGCTCCTTATACTGTATTTTAGATAATAAGGAGCCTAAAAATATTTAGTTTACTTCGTTGACAATGAGTTAAATGAAACACGAAAATAAAACGTTTCGGTATGTTTTGTTCAAATATACAGCAAATTCAGAAATTTTTATTCCTTTTCTGTATTGAATAATTGGAACTAATAGCAAAATCATAGAACGATACGTTACTGAAAAGAATGGATCGTACAAAAAGAAATTCCAAAGAGGCACTTTTTTTGAGAAATGTTAAATATTTTCACGTCGACAGAGAATAAATTATCTTTTTTGTTCTGACAGATATATTGCCAATGTCGTCTTTCGATAATTTTTATCTATTTGTGGACAATATCGAAATCTATCTTTGGATTACTACGAATATGATTCATATTAGAGCGATTTTTGTTCTTAACTTCACCGGGAATGATTCTGGACACAAGCATGATCGGGAAAAGAAAGTCATTTAACCACTTTTCTTGAAAAATTTCGCAGCTTATATTAGACCTGGATTTGAAATTTACAAAAACCTAATTTTTCAAAATAAGTGCTTGCGTACAATTTAGAGAATGAATTTATCAGCTAAAGAATTATCAGAAGATCAGAGATATCGGCTAAGCTTAGAAATCTTACCTGTAACGATTATTCTTCCAGGATTATGACTCATAACAGTAAGGCCCGTAAGTCTGTGTTTAGTACGACAGTTGAAGCTGCTTAACGCATCACTTTGTTGTACATGACGCACATGAAGCTCACCGGAAGGAAATATACTGTAGCGACCTAAAATTATGAAGTAAAGAAAAACCTTAGCTAAGAGAAAAATTAAAGTTTCAAATATCATTAAACAACTTAATTTGCTATTTTAAATTTCCAAATAAAAATATTTCTGTAAAAGCTATTATATGGTGTATTCTTTCTGTCTCTAGCGGCGGGTCCCCTACCTAATTTTTTATAAATTTGTAAATAGAAATCTCTGAAATTAATCTTTTCTGTAATAAATGCATGTTTACACACTTGAACCATTAGTGAAAAATAATGCTGCATATGCCGCAGTCATTAGATAATAGCCAGCATCATTTTTCTTAATGTAATCCTTTTCTCTACTGGCATCGTAGCGATTAGCAAATGGACAACGTAGTTTTTAACGCGAATCCGTATGTAAACTGCGAAAAAAAAGGGGGGACAGTTCTATATCTCTCGTTCTATTGGGCCGATTGACGAAATTCAAATTGCGTTCTTCATGTCTCGAAAGCGCAACTTAGGATATATAGTAGATTTATATATAGCGCTATTCTAACAAAGGTATTTTGACACAAAATGGGACTTTTTCTGAAATAACATACCTTTTTTTTTTACATATTTCGACTCAATTAAGCCTAAATATTAAATTTTGCAAAATCTCGTGCGAAATTTACGGATAAATTCACAAATTTATGTTGACGCTTTTTTTTCAGTTTGCGCCAAGAAAAGTTCACTTGGCGAACTTCTTAGTATATATGGCAACCTGTTTTCATTTCCCTTTTTACATCGTGCGTGATCGGAAAAAAAGTGACGATCGTTTCTTCTTTCAAATAATGTTCTTTATATTATATTAATTATAATTTTTGTTAAGTCATTTTTTCTTTTTTGAATTTCATTTTAATTAAGTTGCATGGTTTGTTTCAAATAACCGGTTTAAAAATTTCTATTTACTCATTCCAACTGCGTAGTTTAAATAAAACGTGCATCTTTTATTTTTTTTTCAAATAGTTTTCTTTATGCTATATTCCCCATGTGTAACGTGTATACGAGCCAGTTTCCCTTAGAATGTCCTCCACGAAGACATCCCTCCCCTCAGGCAGATAGCCCTAGTGTGCTTTGCCGTATTCTCAATACACCAAATCTTTATGCTATATTTTTAGTCATAGTTATTATTTTAGGTAATTTTTAAATTTTTAGACTTAATTTATTTTAATTGTTTGTATTGCATGTTTGTGTTGCAAAAATATAATATAAAGAACATTATTTGAAAGAAGGAACGAATGTCACTTTTTTTTTTTTTTTTTCCTGCTCACACACGATGTAAAAAGGGAAATGAAAATAGGCTGCCATATATTAAGAAGTTCGCCAAGTGAACGTTTCTTGGCGCAAACTGAAAAAAAAGTGCTAATTAAAATTGTGCATTTCTCTGTAAAGTTTGAGCCAAATTTTACAAAATTTCATATTTAGGCATAATTTGAGAAGTAGAATCGAAATATGTAAAAAAAATTGGTATGTTATTTTAGAAAAAGTCCGATTTTGTGCCAATATATCTATGTTAGAATAGTGCTATATATAAATCTAATGTATATCCTAAGTCGAGCTTTCAAGACAGGAAGAACGCAATTTGAATTTCGTCAATCGGCTCAGCAGAACGGGAGATATCGAACTGCCCCCCTTTTTTTGTCGCAGTGTACAATATCCAGTATTTCGTAATAATGTTGTGAAATAACATCGAGCTGGAATTGTCAATGGAAGTGAAAGGCTTGCGGTGAGATTGTGTAAATGACCGATTCTTTATTAAGAAATGTATTCTGAACAACTGATATTTTCGCATATTCAGCAGCAATTGTTAAAACCTTTAATGCTCCCTCGTTGATAGTTTTGAAAATCTAAAAGAGCTGTAGAGTCATTAGGATTATTTCGAAGCTGGAGAAGTGAAAAATGAGCAATGATCTCCCCGGGACTCGAACCACGGACCTCTCATATTCGCGTTGAGCGTGCTGACCACTACATCACGAAGGCATGCTAAGAAGGCGGGAGAAATACTTTATATACTCTCCCTTTTAAAGGGCGACTGTGGTTTTAGGGGACCCAATCGCCAAATCCTGGTGGTGAAGAATCAATCATTCACCACCTTTTAGTTCGGGCACTACTGTAGAGCCATTAGGTTATTTCGAAGCAGAAGATGTGAAAATGAGCGATGCCCTCGCCGGGACTCGAATCACGGAACTCTGGATTTCGCGTCGAGCGTGCTGACGACTACACCACGAAGGCATGCTAAGAAGTCGGAATAAATACCTCATCGAGTTACAGATAAATAGATTAAACATCATGCTCTGTTACCAAAGAATATTTTTCGGAAAAAACACTTCTACAGAAAATTATAAAGAAAAATGTTTGTTTAATTTGTCCCTAAAAAGTGAACCTACTCGTAGCGAGTACCTCCTCCTAATAAGGCCACTAGTGAAAGTCAATTACGATAACATAAATAAACATTAGTACTAATATATTATTTTCCAAGAAGACTGCTTCCTAATACTCCGCAGTTAACTGAATTTTTATTAAGGAGATTACCCAAATGCTCAATTTCTTTAACAAACCTAAAATGTTTTGGCTACTATTCAATTGATGGGATTTTATTTTCAGTAGTTTTTATAACAGCAAACCATGCACTGATCAACATTGAAATACCAGCACCAATACCAATATATCAGATTGCCAAAGATTATGCTAAGTAGGAAGATTATAGGCGATGCTGGGGCATGCTAAAGTTCAAAGTATCATCTCATAAATCTAAAAAGCTAGTTGTGAGTGAGGCTGTAATGCTACCTAAACCCAATTGAAAAAAAAAAAAAAAATTCTGCTGCATGAGACTCCAGAAACCCAAACATGTGTTTTAGTTTTATAGTGGGAAACCTCAAGTTCTTAATATTACCCTTATCATACCAAACAGGGCAGAAACAGAGGAAAAGAATCCTTGAATTCAGATATTTTAGTTTATTACTCCGGCAACACGTTTAGGCTGAAACACATGCCGCGTTCAAATTGTGTATCTCACTGTTAGTAAGAACAATAAACTAAACTGATAACAAACAGTTATCAGAGGTAGACTTCGGCTCCGACAGATTTTTAGATTAGAAAAATGGCAGATAGTGTTTCTTGCTTTACTGGAAATCAGATTCGACAGCATGCATTAGGCTAAAAAGGTCCTGCAGTGTTTATAGAAATCCTTAGAGGAGTTTGCACAATGGGAAGAATGACGGGCTAAGTAAAACTCCAACAAAATTAGCATACGCATCATATTATGTTTTATATTGAATTTTCTGTTGTATTAAATATGTGTATCCACAATAAGAAAAGCGTATTTGAATTTAGTATTATATTTCCACATGCGAGTTCCCAGATCAATCTGCATTATATAATGGAGATATTTTCATCGACAAAAGTTTCAAAGACTCTTATTGAAAATTTACTTTGTAAAAACATTTGAATATTTACCTGGTGGAACTTTTTTCATCAAGATACTTTACAAAAAATCTTTCATTGGACATTTTAACAATTTAAGGACTTTAGAAATTATATTTATATTGTTTTATTGTTTAGTTCCTTTAGAAATTATATGAGAAAGTTCATGAATCATAACAGAGCATGGGGAATCATACCGGCTGCGCCATTTTTGGTATAGCTGCTCCATTATTGTGATAAGACTGTCGCATTATTGTAAGATGACTTGGTGGAAAGTAAGCTGCAACGGATTGGCAGTGGTTCTCGACATTATAACAGCGTAGTTAGAAAAATTACACTAAGAACACACATAACGATAAATTCCACGCATAATTTATACTTTGATAAAGCACTTCATCAATATCGCTGCGCTATGTACCCCACAGTTTTATACAGCCTACATTTCTTATAGAATAGGCGAAGTTTTGAAAACCAAACTCTAAGTAGCTAGCGGCAATGCAAAGCAGGGAAACGAAGCAACAGAAAAGTGAGAAGAGAGTTGCGACGCAATTAAGCTTTATAACGAATTCTATTTTAGATCACTTTACAGTTTAATGTACAGGTGCTGGGTTCAGATTTCCTAGATAAGTGCGCATTAGAACTGCAGGGAGTTTAGGTAGCAAAATTAACGACAGTTAAACGGCTATTATTAATTTTTTAATTGAAAGATTTTGAAACATAGATATTTTATATATGCTTCGTCACAAGAAAAGCATAAAAATTCATGTTTGAGAATTTAACGTCAGGTTTCATTGCCATAGCGAGATAAAAAAAAAAAAAATACGACCAATTTACCACCCTTCGGGACATCATTTGTCGGATGAACTGACATTGGGAGATTAGTATTCAGAATCATACAGATGTTAACTATATTAAGATTAGCAACTATATATGCAGCTTTCCCAAAGGTGATGTTTTTTGTCATCATTTTCATTATGCTACAACTAATTTGTATGTATGAAACGAAAGAATTTTGTATATACGAATTAAAATTAGTATATACATTAGATAGAGCATGTAAAAAAAATAGATTTTCAACAAAAACTATAATTCATAAATAAACATAATATTCATAAATGATTCACAAATAAAACAATAATTCCATCATTAGGAAGCGCTCTTTCTGTAATGTAGAAAAATTAAATTATTTACTAATTATTACTAAATTATTTGTGAGTTCACGAAATATATATAGACTGTTCGTTTTTTTAAAATATAAATTTAAAAATCATCTGCCAAACCCAAGCTAGCAAATGCTTTCGACCGGATGTTATTAAATGGCGCGATGAAACGTACCTATTCACCTAACTGTACAAGAAAACATTCTTTTAAATCGTTAAAATTTTTAGCACCGTTTTGGAAGTTAAATAATTTCCTATCATCTAAAACAATATTTTGAATTTTTTATACTAAATTTTATATCAAGTTGTAAACAGATTGAATGATGCTTACCTTTTAGAATACAACCTTGAACGGGAATATTGCTTAATATACCATTCTAAACCTTTTCTTTCGTTTTACATAAAAAT